GCCCAGGTACGAACCCTATTGAAATTGAGAAAAATCGGTTCAGATTTAGATATAGCTCCATATATTAAGGTAAATGTGGCACCATGGCACCCTCTAAATCTTTCGATTTGCACGAAATTCCGCACAGATTACTGAATTAGGTCCGTAATGAGATGTGCCAAATTTTGAGAAAATCGGTTGCTTTAGATATAGCTCCCATATATAGTTTCGTCCGATTTAAGGTAAAGCAAAGTCCCTACATATATCGTTTGCGAAATTTGACCGAGAATTAGATGCAGAATAATGTGTGCCTAGTTTCGAGAAAATCGGTTCAGATTTAGATATAGCTCCCATATTTATTTTCGTCCGATTTAAGGTAAATGGTGGACCAAAGTCCCAATATATAATTCGGGTTGCACGAAATTTGGCATAGAGTACTGAATTAGATGCAGAATAATGTGTGCCTAGTTTCGAGAAAATCGGTTCAGATTTAGATATAGCTCCCATATTTATTTTCGTCCGATTTAAGGTAAATGGTGGACCAAAGTCCCAATATATCATTCGGTTTGCACGAAATTTGGCATAGAGTACTGAATTAGGTCCAGAATGATGTGTGACAAGTTTCGTGAAAATCGGTCCAGATTTAGATATAGCTCCCATATTTATTTTCGTCCGATTTAAGGTACATCGGTCTCCAAAGTCCCTATATATCTTTCGATTTGCACGAAATTTGGCATTGGGTACTGAATTGGGTCCAGAATGATGTGTGCCAAGTTTCGAGAAAATCGGTCCAGATTTAGATATAGCTCCCATATATATTTTCGTCCGATTTAAGGTACATCGGTCTCCAAAGTCCCTATATATCTTTCGATTTGCACGAAATTTGGCATTGGGTACTGAATTGGGTCCAGAATGATGTGTGCCAAGTTTCGAGAAAATCGGTCCAGATTTAGATATAGCTCCTGTATATATTTTCGTCCGATTTAAGGAAATTGGTGCACCAAAGTCTCTAGATATCTTTCGATTTGCACGAAATTTGGCACAGCGTATTGAAATAACTCTAAAATGATGTGTACTAAAGTTTCGTGAAAATTCTTCGATTTGCACGAAATTTGGCATAGGTCTTGAACGATGTGTATTAAGTTTCCTGAAATCGGTTCAGATTTAGATATAGCTTCTATATCTGACCAAATGAAAAATTTAGTATCGGTTGCAGAATGATATTTTTATTGATCCAATTTCATTTTACTTGTCCTTTAAAAATGCGATGCTGTTAGGATTCATCTATTGAATATACCCAAAGTGGTGAAGGGTATCATATAGTCGGTCCCGTCAGACTTTACTATTAATATATTATTTTATTTTCACAGAAAACTGCATATGTCAGAAAAACAAAACAATTCACACATTCAAATCGAGCACAAATTGAATAAAAGTACCATTTAGTATTAAATTTCATGATTCGAGATCTAAAGGTTCAACGAAATCCAAATTTTACCAAATTTAACATCCAACAAAACTTCTTTCATACCCCAATCCTACACCTTCACAGTGACCTTAAATCCAAGTTTCAGGATTCCAACCCTAAACCTACACCCCCACAATGATCCTAAATCCAAGTTTCGCGATTCCAACTCTATTGGTTCACCCACAATTGAAATTGTACAAAATTCAGTACATAGCTGTACCAACTTCCAAAACTTCATACATACCCCAATCCTACACCCCCACAGTCATCCTAACTCCAAGTTTCATTTCAAATTGTACCGAATTTAGTACACAGTAGTACGAATTTCAAAAACTTCATACTTAACACAAAACAACAGCTCCTACAATGATCCTAAATCCAGATTTCAGGATTCCAACTCAATTGGTTCACCCACAATTCAAATTGTACCAAATTTAGTACACAGTATTACCAATTTCCAAAACGTCCTACATATCCCAATCCTACACCCTCACACTGATCCTAAATCAATGTTTCAGGATTCCAACTCCATATATTCAACCTCAATTCAAATTGTACTAAATTTAGTACATAGTAGTACCAATTTCCAAATCTTTCTACGTACCCCAATCCTACACCTTTACTGTTTTCCTAAATCAAAATTTCAGGATTCCAACTCTATATGTTCACCCACAAATCATATCGTACTAAATTTAGTACATAGTAGTACCAATTTCCAAATCTTCCTACGTACCCCAAACCTACACCTCCACAGTGTTCCTAAATCAAAATTTCAGGATTCCAATTTAGTACATAGTACTACCAATTTCCAAACCTTCCTACGTGCCCCAATCCTACACCTCTACAGTGATCCGCTTTACCCAGTGATCGCTTTACCCAAAATTCAAATTGTACCAAATTTAGTACACATTAGTAGTAACTTCTAAAACTTCCTACATATATCAATCTTACACCTCAACAGTGATCCTGATTCCAATTTTCATGATTCTAGCTCTATTGGTTCTCCTAAAATTAAAATTTTACCAAATTTAGTACGGTTTAGTACACATAAGTATTATTATCTTAAACTGAATTCTGACCCCAATTTTTGAATTCTGACCCCAAATTTCATTGTTCCCGCTCTATCGGTTAACCCAAATTCAAACTGTACCGATTATAGTACGATTTAGTACTTTTCGTACACACAAGTAACAAATTTCTAAAACTACGTTCATATCCCAATCCTACACTCCGATGGTACTCTTAATTTCAAATTCCAGCTCGATTTGTATCTCCAAATTAAATTTGTACCAAATATAGTACCATATAGTACTTTTCGTACACATGAGTACACGCTTTCCAAACCATCTCCTTAAATGGACCCTACTTCTCAACCATAATCCAACTCTCCAAATTTCATGTTTTTAGCGCTATCCGTTCAAATGCTACAGAATTGTACCAAATTTAGTACATTTTCGTACTTTTCGGATAGTTATAGTTCGAATTTCCAAAATTTCCCTTTGGTACATCTATCCTACACTGCATCAACGACCACCAAACCAAGTCAGAGTCCTTGAAAATTATTTTTTTGTAAATCAGAGTCCTTAAAATCATTTGAGTCCTTGAAAATTATTTTTTTGTAAATCAGAGTCCTCAAAATCATTTGAGTCCTTGAAAATTAGTGTTTAAAAAATACACGCCTTGTTTGAGTCCTTGAAAGTTAGCCTTTAAAAAATCCACACCTTGTCTGAGTCCTTGAAAATTGGTCTATAAAAAATCCACGCCTTGTTTGAGTCCTTGAAAATTAGTCTTTAGAAAAATCCACGCCTCTGTGAGTCCTTGAAAATTAGTTTTTAAAAAATCCACGCCTTGTGTGAGTCCTTGAAAATTTTATTATTTTTAAATTAAGAAAAAAACCTAACGTTTTTTAGTAAAGCTTTGCAGGATATTTTGACAGCTGTCAAATTAAGTTTCAACCCCTTAATTTGGTGAGCTTTTGCCGGACAGGCAGCCTCATAAATTAAATGTTTTTCTGTTGAGAGCTTTTATTAAAAGCTTTCTACTTTGATTATGCGCATTGCATATCCTGCCACATTGTGGGAATGAGATAGCCATAATCACTTCGACTGTATTAGCTATCAAAAAATAGATTCCAAAACTTTGTTCTTCTTCTTATTCTTCGTCGTCGTTCATGTTCATAGGACACACGTTGCCTTCTCCGGCCATCCACAAAATACCCCAACTATCACATCCACAAAGAGAGAGAGAGCGCCAGTAAAGAGAGAGCGTGCGGTCGAGAGCGGCTAGCCACTGTAGCTCCAAACTTCACATTGTGTGTGCACATAGACAAGATTTTTCGCATTACAGAGTCGCTGCTAACTCGCTCATACGGACTGACTGATTTCAGAGCAAAGACAAAAAAAGGAAGAAAAAAATCGAAAAATATTCGATTGGAAAAGGACTTTTTGTTTAAAGAAAATTTATGGAAATTTAGTGTTTTATTGTTGTAAAGAAAGCAGAAGAAAAGTGATAAAAATGTGTGTCCTTAAAAATAAAGGATATGAGAAAAAATCCGAATTAAATTGAAGTTTCCAAAAAATCGAAGTGGCAGGAAAAAAAATCACGGTGAAAAGCAGGAAAAAAACAATAGGTACACATAGCGGAATAATACATTTCGGCCAAAAAGCAATCGACGAGAAGAAGAAGAAGCAGCAGCATTAGCAGCTGAACAGGACGACGACGAAGACAACAACGAAGGGAAAGGAAGGACGCAAGGAAGAAGGAAGGTTTTGGGGGAGTTTGGCAGCAACTATTAGAGCAAAGGCAGCGCAGTAATACTCGTTACACAAAGTGAAAAAATTAAAAAAAGTGTTTGAAGGACCTAGGATCCTTATCCTGTGGTAAAGGATAAATTGGCAAAGTTTGATTGCCAAGAAAAAAATTGTCAATTAATCTCTGGCTCTGTTCTTAAAGTGTAGTTATTTTTTTGATAACAACACGAAGCAGAGAAAAAAATCATCAGCATCAAACAGCCAATACCCCCCTTGCACAACCCACCCCGATTGCCAACCTGCCACACTGCCAACCTGCCTGACTGCCTTCGCCTACATTTTTTTGAATGCTAATCAAATGAATCAACGATGTTTTGCGTCCTTAGGCTAAATATATGGGAATGTGAATGAAACTACAACAACAACAACAACAAAAAACAACAACCACACAAGGAACACCAACAACAACAAAATAGTAACGCAATGCAACGCTTAACTCCCGCATTAGCTACGGGTGATTGTACGTAAGACACCATTAACCTTTTTTCTACACACCCTCCCCCAACCGATTCCTTGCCGAAAAAGCTTCGAGTTCAGTTGACAAGAAGCAGGCGGAAAACAACAACAAAAAACAAAAGGCAGATCACCAGGAGCTGCCAACAACAACATCCGTAGGATATTAACAACACAACAAAAAAAAAACTTCCTAGTCATCTGGCGCCCAACCCCACCAATTAACACCAGGACCCACAACGAGACACTAAACACGCTCCAGCCCCCTCCACCTCCCCCGCTTCAAACACAAAATCCAGAGTTCAAAACTTTGGATTTTAAAAACTAATGAATGCACAACTGCAAATTCTATATCCAATGGCTATGAGACGTTATCTAGTATGTTTTAGCATACTAACGTGGCTATCATTGCTAACAAGTAAGTGCTGGGCCCTTCTTTTTTTATTTCCTTACCTTACGTCTTTTTAATTTACCTCATCACACATTAATCCGCACTTCACTTCATTATGTTTTCTTGAAATTCAATACATTTCCGGTTTCTTTGGCCATAAGATTAGCCATGGCTAATTGGGTTTTAGTTGTCTTTGTTGTGTTGTCACCATAGTTGTTGTTCTTATTATTGCATTCCGTTTTCTTTATTCCCGTTTCTTAATTAGCTACCCAGTCGGTTCGCATAACCAATCTTAAGGTGCCTCATACCTACACACTGGAACGTCACACAGAACCGGAACCCTTGGTGCTAGACTGCGAATATGAATTGGGGCCACGCGAGAAGGGCTTTGTCCTCAAATGGCTATTCAATAATCATTCCATATATCAGTGGATACCCTCCGTAAAGGGTTATGCAATGGTGAGTATCAGGAAGGCATTTTTTATAATTAAAACAGTAAAGTCGGACGGGGCCGACTATATGATACCCTTCACAATTTTGGGTATATTCTACATAGTCTCCTAACAGAGGTCGCCTTCACAAAAAAAATATTGACATGAATTTATATATAAGAACTTTGGTCCACCATTTCTATTAAATCGGACGAACATATATATGGGAGCTATATCTAAATCTGAACCGATTATCACGAAACTTAACACACATCATTCTAGGCCCAATTCAGTACTCTGTGCCAAATTTCGTGCAAATCGAAAGATATATAGGGACTTTGGTGCCCCATTTACCTTAAATCGGAAGAAAATATATATGGGAACTATATCTAAATCTGGACCGATTTTCAGGAAACTTAACACACATCATTCTAGACCTAATTCAGAACGCTGTGCTAAATTTCGTTCAAATCGAAAGATATATAGGAACTTTGGAACACAATTTATCTTAAATCGGACGAAGATTTGTGTGGGAGCTATATCTAAATCCGAACCGATTTTCACGAAACTTAGGACACATAATTCTAGACTTAATTCAGTACTCTGTGCCAAATTTCGTGCAAATCGAAAGATACATAGGAATTTTAGTGCCCCATTTATCTTAAATCGGATGAAAATATATATGGGAACTATATCTAAATCTGGACCGATTTTCAGGAAACTTAATACACGTCATTCTAGACCTAATTCAGAACGCTCTGTCAAATTTCGTGCAAATCGAAAGATATTTAGGAACTTTGATGCACTATTTACCTTAAATCGGACAAAGATATGTGTGGGAGCTATATCTAAATCTAAACCGATTTTTACGAAACTAAACACACATCATTCTAGACCTAATTCAGTACGCTATTCCACATTTCGTGCAAATCGAAATATATATAGGGGCTTTGGTACACCATTTACCTTAAATCGGAAGAAGAGCTATATATAAATCTGAACCGATTATTACGAAACTCTGCACACATCATTCTAAACTTAATTCAGTACGCTAAGCCAAATTTCGTGCAAATCGAAAGATATATAGGAACTTTGATGCACTATTTACCTTAAGGGAACCCCCCCCCCCATTCTCGATTTTATTTTTTCAAGATTTTCAATGGGCTGGTAAATCAATACCAATGCTTGTTAAGGTTTGTAACTTTGCACATATATAATTGAGGATTTAAAAGAGAAGAAAAATAATTTACAACAAAATTTTGTTATTGTTTTGTTGTTGTTTTTTGTAATTAAAGAAAAGTCCTTATTTTTGATGGCGGGCATGATAACTCCTCACTGGAACATCGGAATCCGAAAATTCCAACGGTGTTAGAAAGAGTACATGTCTGGCTCTCGTATGAACTAGGATTATTGACATCGCTCTAAAATTAACAAAATGGTGGACCTTTGAAAAAATATTTTTGGAAAATCGCCGATTTTTGACCAAAAACCAAGTTAAAAAATAAGGAAGATATTCACCGATTGGCTTTATCCTAGTTCATACGAGAGCTATACACTCCCAGAGAAACGTTGCAAAATTTGGAACCGATTGGGTTATTAGTTTTTGAGTTATCGTGCCCGCCATTCGCAAAAAAATGTTTAGAAAAAAACGCGTTTAAAGTTTGAGAAGCCCTTCAGCCGTCACTTGATGCGGACACAATAAATCGGATATATCTTCAAGAGTTCTTGAGATTTTCACTTGAAATTTTGTAGAGACATTCTTTAATCAGTGTAGATTCGAATTATGTCAACAAAAATTTTGACCCCGAGAATGGGGGGGTCCCCTTAAATCGGACCAAACTATATATGGGAGCTATATATAAATCTGAACCTATTTTCTCGAAACATCATTCTGGACCTAATTTTGTACTTTATGCCAAACTTCGTGCAAATCGAAAGATAAATGGGGACTGTGGTACACCATATATAGGAGCTATATCTAAATCTGAACCGATTTTTCCCAATTTCAATAGGTTTCGTCCTTGAGCCAAACAAATGCGCTGTGCCGAATTTCATCCAATTCGGATCATAATTGCGACCTGTACATTGTCTACAATTTAACATGCACAGACGGACGGACAAACATGCATAAATCGACTCAGAAAGTGATACTATGCATATTCCTTGAAAATAAGTCTTTAAAAAATCCACGCCTTGTCTGAGTCCTTGAAAATAAGTCTTTAAAAAATCCACGCCTTGTCTGAGTCCTTGAAAATAAGTCTTTAAAAAATCCACGCCTTGTCTGAGTCCTTGAAAATAAGTCTTTAAAAAATCCACGCCTTGTCTGAGTCCTTGAAAATAAGTCTTTAAAAAATCCACGCCTTGTCTGAGTCCTTGAAAATAAGTCTTTAAAAAATCCACGCCTTGTCTGAGTCCTTGAAAATAAGTCTTTAAAAAATCCACGCCTTGTCTGAGTCCTTGAAAATAAGTCTTTAAAAAATCCACGCCTTGTCTGAGTCCTTGAAAATAAGTCTTTAAAAAATCCACGCCTTGTCTGAGTCCTTGAAAATAAGTCTTTAAAAAATCCACGCCTTGTCTGAGTCCTTGAAAATAAGTCTTTAAAAAATCCACGCCTTGTCTGAGTCCTTGAAAATAAGTCTTTAAAAAATCCACGCCTTGTCTGAGTCCTTGAAAATAAGTCTTTAAAAAATCCACGCCTTGTCTGAGTCCTTGAAAATAAGTCTTTAAAAAATCCACGCCTTGTCTGAGTCCTTGAAAATAAGTCTTTAAAAAATCCACGCCTTGTCTGAGTCCTTGAAAATAAGTCTTTAAAAAATCCACGCCTTGTCTGAGTCCTTGAAAATAAGTCTTTAAAAAATCCACGCCTTGTCTGAGTCCTTGAAAATAAGTCTTTAAAAAATCCTCGCCTTATCAGAGTCCTTGAAAATTAGTCTTTAAAAAATCCACGCCTTGTCAGAGTCTTTGAAAATTAGTCTTTAAAAAATCCACGCCTTGTCAGAGTCCTTGAAAATTAGTCTGTGAGTCCTTGAATGTTAGTCATTAACTTTTGGAACTCATAAGTACACATTTTCTAGACAACCTCCATATATCAATCGTTCACTAAATTTAGTACCAGTTAGTACCAAACATCCCTTTGGTACTTCTTCTTAGCTCTCCTTCAGGGACCCACATTCCAAATTTTAGGTTTCCAGCTCTCTCTCCGTTATTCAAATGCAAATTGTTCCAACATTAGTGCATTTTGTACTAATCGTACAAATAAATTCGAATTCCCATAGCTGTCTCCAAGGCTCAATCCCACACTTCAACCGTCACCTAAATTCAAAATCTCAGGATCCCAGCTCTATCGATTCACCCAAATCAAAATTGTACCAAATTTAGTACCATTTAGTATTTTTCATACTAATAAATACGAATTTCTATACCTACACCAATCCTACACTCTAACAGCAATCTTATTTCCACCAAGGTCCAAACTGTACCAAATTTAGTACTTTTCGTACCCATAAGTACGAATTCCCAAAATTAAGTCAATCCTGTTTTAAAATAGTAATTAAATAGTCCAAAGTTAAGAATTCCAAATTTATCTGTTCAGCAAAATCCACATTGTACCAGTTTTGGTACCATTCTGCACTTTTTGGTACCCATATTTCAAAACTATCTGAATCCTACACTCCGACAGTAATCTTAGTTGCAACTTTCAAGATTCCAGTTATACACATTCACCACAGTCGAAATTGTACCAAATTTAGTACTTTTCTTGCCCATAAGTACGAATTTCCTAAACTACCTCCAATAATAATCATAAGTCCACATTTAAGGATTTCAGCTCAATACGTTCACCCACAATCAATTTGTACCAAATTTAGTACCATTTAGTACATATAAGTACTGTACATCCATATCTCAATTCTACACTCGAACAAAAACCATTATTCGAAATTTTAGGTTTCCAGATCTATCCGTTCATTCAAATCTCAAGTGTACCAAATTTAGTGCCAGTTAGTACTTTTTGTACACATAAATAGAAATTTGAAAATCTGCCTCTATAGCTCAATCCTCAACAGTAATCTTCATTCCAACGATCACTTTTTCAGGTATTTTATGAATATATAATTTATTTCTCTTTTGTACAGGGCGTCTTGAAATCAAAAATCAATACGGTCATCTATCCGACAGAGGGTAGTCCGGGTGTGATATCAATACGTCGACCAGACTGGAATATGACTGGCGAGTATACGTGTTTTGTCCAGACCTTCGAATCGACAGATAAACGAAGTAGCCGTCTACAAATAATTGGTGAGTGGATGGAAATATTATTTCAAAATCCCTTTTGAATTGTAATAACCGATTGTTGTTGTTTTTTTCCTGCAGTTCCTGAATCGGATTTTTTGCTTGAAACCAAAATGGATGGAACGCGAGAAAATGTCGAAGTAATGTGTGCCGTTCAAAATGTATTCCCCCAGCCAGTACTATACGTAAAGTAAGTGTGAAATTAGAAGTTCGGAAGGTCTCGGGGAGGATCAATTGTGGTTTTGATGTCTGGAGAAGATATAAGGAAGGGATTCTGCAAAAAAACAGCTTTCAGAAAAATATCTCTAGTAGGATCTCCAAATATAAATGCCTCTGGGGGGGAGGGGGGTCGTCTATACACAGAAGATCCCTATGAAGACTTCTAAATGGTTCCAGAAGCTGTCTTCTGTCTATATGAAAATATTGTCTATATATTTTTCTTAAAAAATGCCTGTGGAGAATTTCTGAAATATGCCAAAAGAGTTTACCTCGAATGCTCTACAAAAAATCTTTGAGAAGAACTTGAAAGACTTATAGAAGCCCCCTGAAAAGTCCTATACACGTAGGGGACCTCTTACTTACTTAGCCGGCTTGTTACACAAAGGTTGTTCCATAGGCCGAGCTTAAAAAAGATTTCCAAGCGCGTCGGTCTTGTGAAAGACCATGTTCTGAAATTTTATCTTCGACTTAGTCTTTTCATCGAATTTGTGGCCTTCCCCTACTGCGTGAACCATCACTGAGCTCGCTTTTATATGCTTTTTGAGCTGGGGCATTCGCAAGTACCCATGCTTCAGATCCATATTAAAGCACGGGTATTATCAGCGTCTTGTAAAGTGTGAGTTTGGTCTGGCGGGAGGTGACATTGTTTCTAAACTGCTAATTTAGACCATAGTAGCATCTGTTGGCCATCAGAATCCTTCTTCGAATTTCAAAACTGATGTCATTAGTTTTATTTATGGCGGTCCCGAGGTGTATAAAAGCTTTAACTACCTCTAAGGTGTAGTTCTCAAGTTCCACAGTTGGTCCGAGTCTACTAGACGTCTTGCTCGTTGATACCATCATCTTGGTCTCCTCGCCATTTAGTGCCAGACCCACATTGGCAGACTCCTTCTCAATTTGTTCAAAGGTGGCTGTTACCGCTCGTAATGTTCGACCCATTATATCGATGTCATCGGCGTAGGCGAGTAACATATGCTGTTTGGTGTACAAAGTGCACAGGTCACACGACAAACTGCCACCTTGTCTGAATCCTCGGTCGGTATTGAAAGGCTCCGAGAGGTCCTTTCCAACTTTAACTGCTGACCGTGTGCCACCATGAGTTGTCCTCCATAGCCGTATTAATTTTAGAGGAATGCCGAACGTAGGCATGGCTTTTAACACCTCTGAACGGATAGGTCATTTCCGACTTTAACTGCTGACCTTGTCCCACTTAGAGTTATCCTGCATAGCCGTATTCATTTTGCAAGAATGTCGAACGCAGACATGGCTATAAACACCTCTGAACTGTAAAATGCGGCTTTATAGTCGACGAATAGGTGAAATGTATCGATCTGTTTTTCGTGGGTCTTTTCCAGGATTTGACACAGATTAAAAATCTGGTAAATGGGGGTTTTGCCAGGTGTGATGCCGCATTGGTATGGTCCAATAATGTCATTGACCATTGGCCTCAGTAGTTCACACAGCTCCCTGGATAACACTTTATATGCGACTGGAAGAATACTATTTCCTCTATAGTTGGCACATATCGTCTTGTATCATTTTTTTGTGCACGGGACACAGGATGCTGAGGTTCCAATCATTGGGCATGCATTCTTCTAGCCAAATTGTACTAATCAGCTGGTGCATGCTCCTTACCAGCATCTGACCACAAATCTTGAATAGTTCGGCTTGTAACCCATCGGCCCCTGCTGCTTTACTATTCTTCAGCCGATTAATTTCTATCCTCACCTCATCTTGGTTAAGTGGATCTCTCTCCATTATCATATATAAGACCTCTTATATACCCCACAACCCCGGAAGAGAGCGAGGGTGATATTTATGTGTATGACCCTCTTGAAGGTCTATTGGATTTTATCCAAATACCTTTTTACGGCTTCTTTTATATCCAGTTCCCATAGAAGTTCTCTCTATACACCCTGAATTTCCGAATATATATTCCCCAGTTTTGTTTTCTTTTTTGTCTACACCTTTAACTAACATTTTCCCACCTTTTTTCCCACTTTCCAGCAGATTTGATACAAAAATATTGGATTCGGTATTAACGCAAATGGATCAGAACGCGAGTGGCCTATATAGTATGACAGTTAGAACGCGTATACCTAGAGATAAATTTGAATCACCCACACCGATTACATGTTCATTTTACCTGCTTGGTACCAATTACACTAAAAGACGGGAAACTATTTTCTATGGTAAGTAGAGGTAAGATAATTTTTAATTGTAGATTGCCGATTTTTAACAAAATTTAGAACAAAACAAATGAAAAAGCGTTATGTTTGGCCGGGCCGAACTTTGGATACGCTCAACCATAGATATACTGACAGGTACCTCCCATACATGGGCGAGGGCTAGGCTTAAATGCAGGCTATAGTTCATATATAGTTCATTATCGAACCTTAGGTTCTAGTTTTTTATCTCGATATCCTCTGCAGAGTCTTAGAACCAAATCCAAAATTCGGAACAAATCAGATAACTATTTTAAAATAAAAAAGGGGTTTATATGGGAACTACCCCATAACGGGGGCGAATATTAATAATTTTTGGTAGGGAGAGATTTGTTCGATATACGACCATAAAATACCAAATTGCAACGAATTCGGTTGAAAAACTCGCTCCAGAACCCCAAAATACCGAAAATTGGGGGAACCCTTATATGGGGTCTATCCGAAAAAATGGATCTATATTCATACTTTTTTGTGGAGAGATTTGATACCTATTAGGAACTTAAAATACCAAATTACAGCCAATTGAGTGGAAAAATACGATCAAAACCCCAAAAATATTGATAATTAGGAGGTATGAGGGCTACCTGAAAAAGTGGACCTATATTTATAATTTTTGGTGACATTTAGAACCCAATGTACCAAATCTCAGCAAATATATATATATATATATATATACTTTATAGGGTCGGAAATGAATATTTCGATGATTTACAAACGGAATGACAAAATTTGTATACCCTCCATACTACGGTGGAGGGTATATAAAAACAGCAAACCTAATAACTGAAAACAACATTTATGGCTAAAAGGCGCATAGACTTTCGGAAGTTATTTTACCTCTTCGGAGGCTTTCATGAAATATTTTAGTCCTCGGCAGTATTCAGAAAATATTCTTAAAAAGTCTCCTAATTTTGAGACCTTTGCCAATATCAACACATTGGCCGATATTCAATTTTGAAATTATAATCATTTTTTTTTAATATTCTGAAAAATTAGGAATAGTAACCCGAGGACTACCTTCTGCAGGATTATAGCTCTAAAATTTCCTAATAGTCCTAATAAAAGAGTAAAGAGATTGACTGACTTAATGATTCATCAACGAGCAGACAAAACGGCTGAAGCTAAAAAAATATGTGTTAAGTTTCCTGAAAATCGGTTCAGATTTAGATATAGCTCCCATATATATTTTCGTCCGATTTAAGGTAAATGGTGCACCAAAGTCCCTTAAAATCTTTCGATTTGCACGAAATTTGGCACAGCCTAATGAATTAGGTCTAGAATGATGTTTGTTAAGTTTCCTGAAAATCGGTTCAGATTTAGATATAGCTCCCATATATATTTTCGTCCGATTTAAGGTAAATGTTGTGCCAAAGTCCCTTAATATCTTTCGATTTGCATGAAATTTGGAACAGCGTCATGAATTAGGTCTAGAATGATGTGTGTTAAGTTTCCTGAAAATCGGCTCGGATTTAGATAAAGCTCCCATATATATCTTCGTCCGATTTAAGGTAAATGTTGTGCCAAAGTCCCTTAATATCTTTCGATTTGCACAAAATTTGGCATAGTGAATTTAGCCTTGAAAGATATGTGTTAAATTTCCTGAAAATCGGTTCAGATTTACATATAGCTCTCATATATATTTTCGTCCGATTTAATGTAAATGGTGCACCAAAGTCCCTATATATCATTCGATTTGCACGAAATTTGACACAGCGTAATGAAAGATATATAGGGACTTTGGTACACCATTTACCTTAAATCGGACGAAGATATATATGGGAGCTTTATCTAAATCCCAACCGATTTTCAGGAAACTTAACACACATCATTATAGACCTTTTTATTTACGCTGTGCCAAATTTCGTGCAAATCAAAAGATTTCCAGGGACTTTAGTGGACTATTTACCTAACATCGGGATAAACTATATATGGGAGAAATATCAAAATCTGAATCGATTTCCACGAAACTTTGCACACATCATTCTAGACATAATTCAGTACGCTATGCCAAATTTCGTGCAAATCGAAAGATATATGGGGACTTTGGTGCACCATTTATATAAAATCGGACGAAAATATATGTGGGAGCTATATCTAAATCTGAACCGATTTTCACGAAACTTAGCACACGCCATTCTGGACTTAATTCAGTACGCTATGACAAATTTCGTGCAAATCGAATGATTTTCAGAGACTTTGGTGCACCAATTACCTAAAATCGGACGAAAATGTATATGGGAGCTATATCTAAATCTGAACCGATTTTCACGAAACTTAGCACACGTCATTCTAGACTTAATTCAGTACGCTATGACAAATTTCGTGCAAATCGAATGATTTTCAAATCGGACGAAAATGTATATGGGAGCTATATCTAAATCTGAACCGATTTTCAGGAAACTTAACACACATCATTCTAGCCCTTATTCATTACGCTGTGTCAAATTTCGTACAAATCGAAATATATATTGGGACTTTGGTACACCATTTACCTAAAATCGGACGAAAATATATATATTTGAGCTATATTTAAATCAGAACCGATTTGTTCCCAATTTCAATTGGGCCAAAACAAATGAGTTGTGCCAAATTTCATCCAATTCGGATCATAAATGCGACCTGTACAAATTGTTTACAATTTAACATGGACAGACGGATGGACGGACGGACATGCATAAATCGACTCAGTAAGTGATTCTATGCATATTCTCAAAAGGAACCATGTGTCTATCTCGTTTCCTTTTGCCTGTTACAAACATATGCACAAAGACATAATACCCTGTACCACAGTGTGGTGAAGGGTATAAAAATGCAGGTCTTGGCAGGACTTTAGAAATATTTTTTTTATAATTATTCCCCATGTGGCACACCAGCAAGGTGTTAATTGTAGTCTATTGTTATTAGACTTGAAAAAAAAAAATTATTAAAATTGAAATTAAAATTATTGACTTGTTTTCAATCACAGTAGTTATCCTCTGTAATTATACGAATTAAAAATTTAATCAAAATTTTTAAAATCCAATGGCACGCAATCATCCGGAGACAACAACTAGGCCAGCCATCATCATAGGGAATTATTAAAAAGGGTGACATTTCAATCAAAGGACATTGTTGTACAATTACAATTAAAAAAAACAACAACAATTTCTCTAAATAAATTATATGGCTTCTAATGGCAGGAACAACAACAACAAAACACAAAATTATAAAACAAACTATTTTTACAACAAAATTAAGGGAATGACGGAGATTGACGTAGAAATGCGACAACAACAAAAAAACACCAAAATCCTTTAAAGGAATTGACAATAACGAAAGCCGGTAAATAGTTCGGCAGGCAGTCAGGAAACATTTCTTGTTTATTTTTAAGTTGCCATTGGCAACAACAACAAATTAACTAATAACATTTTTGTTGTTTTTATGTTATGAACTGTCATTTATTAATGCTTGTTCTTGTTGTTTTATTTTTTACTATTTCCAACCCCACCATATGCCTCTAATTGATCCTTAAATGTGTGTGTCCTCTCATTTCAGATAAAGCAACAAATATACAACGTAAATGGACAACAGTCGCTGTAGTCATGTCGATCGCGTCATTAGCTTTAAGCAGTTAGTTTGGATATTTGTAATAAAAATTTAAAAAAAATTAAAATAATGAAAAAATAATAATTTAATAATAAATGATAATATTTAATATATAATAATAATAAAAAAAACCCAACAACAAACCAAAACAAAGAAGAGGAAAAAACGAAAAGAAAACCAAAATGAAATAAGAAAAAAAGTATATTTGTGTTCGTATAGGATATTTCTATTTAGAATTTTAAAAGAAAGAAGAAAAAAAAAATAAATAAAACCAAAAAACCAACTCCTTTTCCCCCAGAGAAAACAAAAAAAAAAACAGATCCCCAAAAATCCAAAAACCAACAACAAGAAACAAAAAACCAGAAAAAACGTAAAATAAATTTTGCGGTATTTTTAACGAAAAAAGTGCTTATTTTGTAAATGCATGTAAATGTAAGAAGAAGAAAAAAAATAAAAAACAACAGAAAAAGGAATAAAAAATCAACTATAAAAAAAAACAACCACAAGGTGGTTTTAAAGGATTTCACTTTCCGAAAGAAGAAAGAAAGGGAATTGGCCAGAGAATTCAAAATTCTGGTCGTAACAAGTGGATGGTAAGTAAAGGCATGTGATGCCCAGGGATTCAAAATACTAAGGAGGGACTTACATATGTCATTCTCTAAATCTGAACCGATTTTCACGAAACTTCGCAGACATCATTCTAGACTTAAATCAGTACGCTATGCCAAAACTCATGCAAATCGAAAAATATATGTAGGGACTTTGGGGCACCATTTACCTAAAATCGGTCGAAACTATATATAGGAGCTATATCTAAATCTGAACCGATTTTCACGAAACTTCGCAGACATCATTCTAGACTAAAGTCAGTACGCTATGCCGAAATTCGTGCAAATCGAAAGATTTTCAGGGACTTTAATGCACCATTTACCTAAAATCGGGCGAAAATATATATGGGAGCTATATCTAAATCTGAACCGATTTTTTCAAAACATGGCACACATCATTCTAGACTTAATTCAGTACGCTATGGCAAAATTCATGCAAATCGAAAAATATGTAGGGACTTTGGCCCACCATTTACCTAAAATCGGGCGAAACTATATATGGAAGCTATATCTAAATCTGAACCGAATTTTATGAAATTTAGCAGACATCATTCTAGACTTAATTCAGTACGCTATGCCAAAATTCGTGCAAATCGAATGATTTTCCGGGACTTTGGTGGACCATTTACACTAAATCGGCCGAAACTATATATAGGAGCTATATCTAAATCTGAACCGATTTTCGCGAAATTTAGCAGACATCATTCTAGACTTAAGTCAGTACGCTATGCCGAAATTCGTGCAAATCGAATGATTTTCAGGGACTTTGGTGCACCATTTACCTAAAATCCGGCGAAACTATATAAGAGGAGCTATATCTAAATCTGAAGCGATTTAACAGACATCATTCTACACTTAATTCAGTACTCTATGCCAAATTTCGTGCAAATCGAAAGACTTGGAGGGACTTTGGTGCGCCATTTACCTTAAATCGAACAAAAATATATATGGAAGCTATATCTAAATCTGAACCGATTTTCACGAAACTTCGCAGACATCATTCTGGACCTAATTCAGTACTCTGTGCCAAATTTCGTGCAAATCGAAAGATATAGAGGGACTTTGGTGCCCCATTTACCATAAATCGGACGAAAATATATATGGGAGCTATATATAAATCTGAACCGATTTTTCCCAATTTTAATAGGCCCAATATCCTTCTCCATATAAAAATTCGCGATGTTTGGATCACAATTGCGACCTCTGGAGCGACCAGAAAACCCCGATAAAAATTAAGTATTTGGTCCATTTCATCCCCTAAATATTAACCAGCTCTATTGGTTCATTTAAATCCACACTTGATACCATTTAGTACACATTAGTGCGAATTTCCAAAACTTTTTACATAGCCCAATCCTACACCCCAACAATGATCCTAACTCCAAATTTCAGGATCCCAGCTCCATTAGTTCTCTCAAAATTCAAATTGTACCAAATTTAGTACCCGATGCTACACTCCAAAATCCACATTTGGTACCATTCTGTACACATTAGTACGAATTTCCAAAACTTTCTATACGTATATCCCAATCATACACCTCAACAGTGACCCTAACTCCAAATTTCAGGATTCCAGCTCTATTGGTTCACCCAAAATTTTAATTGTACCAAATTTAGTACACATTAGTACAAATTTCCAAAACATTCCACAAAAGCCCGATCCTACACCCCAACAGTAATCATAACGTCAAATTTCAAGATTCCAGCTCAATCGGTTCACATTTTGTACTATTTAGTACAAATTTCCAAAACTTCCAACATCGGTTCACTGATAATTTAAATTGTACCAAATTTAGTTCTCATTAGTAGGAAATTCCAAAACTTCTTAATTAGCTCATTTCAACCCGCTCAACAATGATCTTAACTCCAAATGTCAAGATTCCATCACTATCGGTTCACCCAAATCCAAATTTGGTACCATATAGTACACATTAGTACGAATTTCCTACATACACCAATCCTACACCTCAACAATAATCCCAACTAAAATTACATTGTTCCAGCTCTATCGGTTCACCCAAATTCAAATTGTACCAATTATAGTACAATTTAGTACTTTTCGTACACATAAGTAACAAATTTCCAAAACTACGTGTCATATCCCAATCCTACACTCCCACGGTAATTTGTATCTCCAAATCAAATTTGTACCAAATATAGTACCATATAGTACTTTTCGTACACATACACATTTTCAAAACCATCTCATTATATGGACCCCACTTCTCAACCCTAATTCGTATTTCAAATTTCAAGCGCTATCCGTTCTCATGCTACGGAATTGCACCAAATTTAGTACATTTTCGTACTTTTCGGATAGTTATAGTTGGGATTTCCAAAAACCCTTTGATCCATGTACTATACAGTCCATCAATGACCCTCAATCGAAATTTCTAGCTCCACCGGCTCGCCAAATACAAATATACCACATTTAGTACATTTCGTTCCGTTCTAGAACGAATTTCCAAAAACCCAGCCTTATCTGCCACCTTTGGACCAAGAGTGACCCTCACCCAAAATTTCAAGATTCGAGCTTCAGCCGTTTCGTCTGGGCGTTGATGAATCGTTAAGTCAGTCAATCGCTTTACTCTTAATTATTAAAGAGCAGCACCATAGGTCCCCCCTTCACTATTCTAACATTTTAAATCAACTTCACCTATTCCCACCTCTTTAAAAGCCTCCCTTTCCTACCTCTACCACTCAACTGAATTATGTTCTCTTAATTTTTATAGTTTCCTTATTTTGAAAAGGAAAATCATTTAATAATAATTATCTTGATATCCTTTTTGTGACGACAATTGTGTAAACTGTCCTTTTCCACAAAACAGAACGGACCAGACCAGAAAGTCTAATTTACGTTAAAGTTCCTGACTTTTAAATTAGTGTCAGTGTCATAAAACTCGTAAAACATAAACGTTATCTGATTTCCACTCTCCTTTGCTTCGAAAATGATTGTGGGGATGTTGTTTGTCCAAGTGTTTGGGTGCGTGTGTGTTTGTATGTATGTGTCTGCTTAACAAACCATTTCACTACACAAAAAGGTCCTGTCCTACTGTGCCACTGAGACGACATTATTCGGCAAATGAACCGTTAATAAAAATTAATGATTTAGCTTTTTCTCTGCTTTCTCTCTCTCTGTCTGTCTCGATTTTAAAGTGAGGATAGGTGGGAGGGGGGAGAAGGGTTGCCATTATTTGGTATTTTAAAATATTTTAGATCGGGGTTTTAAAGAATATTTTTTCAAAGGCTCACAGAGGCGTGGATTTTTTAAAGAATATTTTTTCAAAGGCTCACAGAGGCGTGGATTTTTTAAAGGATAATTTTTCAAAGCCTCACAGAGGCGTGGATTTTTTAAAGAATATTTTTTCAAAGGCTCACAGAGGCGTGGATTTTTTAAAGAATATTTTTTCAAAGGCTCACAGAGGCGTGGATTTTTTAAAGAATATTTTTTCAAAGGCTCACAGAGGCGTGGATTTTTTAAAGAATATTTTTTCACGGACTTACAGAGGCGTGGAGTTTTCAAAAGAATATTTTTAAGGACCTCTAATAGGCGGAGAATTTTTAAAAGAATATTTTTAAGGTCCTCTAATATGCGGGGATTTTTAGGGACTTCAAATAGGCAGGGAATTTGTAAAAGAATATTTTTTCAGGAACCAAAACTAAATTTTCAATATAGGTTCAAGCCCCATTTTCGATAGTTTGAAGGCTTTAAATTGGCATTCTGGGTTCTTTTAGATGTCGCAAATATTTTTAAGACCTTTATGGATGGATATTTAAAGGCCTCTTAGAATGCATGCAATTTGAGCATAGATTTTAAAGACTTCTTTTTTAAATACCCCTAGAGTGGATGTTAAGGACCTCTATGTTCGCATTTTAAAGGCTCTAAGCAGGGATTTTGACGCCTCTAAGTTTGATTTTAAATGTCTCTCGGCGTAGACTTTTTAAGAGTTTTTTAAGGTCTGTAGGTTTGAATTTTGAATGAATTTATGAAAGATCTTGAAGCTTGGATTTTCATGACTATATGGAGGACCACGAAGCTTGGATTTTTAAAGAATTGTTTAAGGTTCTAAAGTGCGGATTTATGAAAGATTTAAACATTTTTTTTTTGGTTCTTAAGATGGGTTTTTGAAGAATTTTGTAAGGTCCTTAAAGCGGATTTGTTGTCTAAAATTTAAAAAAAATTTTGAAGGTCGTTAATCGAGTCTTCGAATCGTGGATGCTTGGATTTTTCAAAAGATTAGGAGGATTATGGATGACCTCTTAGCGTAGATTTATAAAGAATTTAAAATACTTAAATGCGGATCTTTTGGAAAATTCTTCAAGAATTTTTGAAGGTCTTTAAGTGCGGATTTTTTTTTTTTTTTTAAATTAAAAAATGAGTGCAGCTTAACGAGACCTCGAATCGTAAATTTTTAAATTTATCGAACCCCTCAAAGTATATATTTTTAAGGAATTTTCATATATTTTTTTGAAAACATCGAAGCATAAATTTTTAAAGGTGACCTAGGCTTAGATGATTAGTGGATTTTTTAAGACCGATAAACATCGAGTTTTAGGAATTTTTAAAGGTTTCTAAGCATTTCTTTAAATACAGACAAAACCACCTAAGCTCCGACTTTTTGATCGATTTTCAATATTCGCTACGTATCGATTTGATTTTTGAGGTATTTATGTTCTATTCATAGATTTTTCGGATAATTGTTTAACAAATATGAAAGACATTTTTAAGGCCACTACCCTGAAATATCGATTATTTCAGGTTATTTTTTCAAGACCTTTAAGCATCGATTCTTTGAGGAATTTTTAAAGTCTCTTAAGTATCGATGGTATCGGCAATAATTAATCGATTTTATGGGATTTTTTTTTGAGGACCCTAACATTAATTTTCGAGTCATTTTTTAAAGGAATTTTTAGATGCCTCTAGACATGTATAATTCAAGAATTTTTAAAGTCGCCTAAGCATCGATTTTCGGATGATTTTTATGAATTCTTAAAGCTCCCTAAATATCTATATTTCAGGTATTTTAAAGTCGCCTAAAAATCGATTTTTTATTTCTTTTTTTTTTGAGACTTTTTATGAATTCATTTTTCGGTACATTTTTTTAAGAAAATTTAAAAGCCCCTTAGCAACGAATTTTTAGAAATTTTTTATGGAATTTTTAGAGGCCTCTAAGCATGCATAATTCAAAAATTTTTAATGACGCCTAAGCAACGATTTTCGGAGATTTTTTTTTTTTGATTTTTTTTTAAACCCCTAAATATCCGTATTTCAGGAATTTTAAAGTCGCCTAAGACTCTTTTTTTTTGGAAATTTTTATTTTTTTCGAAATTTGCTTTTCGGTCCCTTAACAACGAATTTCCAGTACTTTTTTAATGAATTTTTAGAGGCCCCAAAGCCTGCATATTTCAAGATTTTTTTTAAATATCTATATTGCAGGAATTTTAAAGTCGTCTAAGCCTCTTTTTTGGAAATTTTTATTTCTTTTTTGAAATTCCCTTTTCGGCCCCTTTTTAAAGTCGTCTAAGCATAGATTTTCGTATCAGATGTTTATGACTTTTTAAAACCCTCTAAATATTCAGGAATTTGAAAGTCGCCTAAGTAACGATTTTTCGGAAATTTTTTTAATGAATTTTTAAAGCCCTCTAAATGACTATATTTCAAATATCAAATATCTATATTTCTAAGTATCGATTTTTATTTATTTATTTTATTTTTACGTTGTAATTATTTTTTTTCGAAATTCGATTTTCGGTAGATTTTTTTTACGAATTCTAAAATTTCGGGTAGTTTTTCTAATGAATTTTTCGAGGCCCCTAGCCTGCATATTTCAAGATTTTTTAAAGTCGTCTAAGCATCAGATTTTTCGCATAATTTTTTATAATTTTTTTAAAGCCCCTAAATATCCGTATTTAAGGAATTTTAAATTCGCCAAAGCCTTTTTTTGAAGGATTTTTAATGAATTGTTCGAAATTCGCTTTTCAGTAGATTTTTTTTTAAGAATTTTTAAAAGCCCCTTAGCAACGACTTTTTAAGGTATATACAAAGGTTACTAAACGTCGATATTTTGGAGATTTTTAAGCCTGGATTTTTTATAAATTTTCAAAATTTTTGAAAGACCAACATTTTGGGTATTTTTGAAAATTTTAAAGCGTCAATTGAGCATCAGATTTTTCGCATGATTTTTTTAGATCCCATAAATATCCGCATTTCAGGAATTTTAAAGTCGCCTAAGACTCGATTTTTTTTTTTTTTTTTTTTTTTTTGAGGAATTTTTAATTAATTGTTCGAAATTCGCTTTTCGGTAGATTTTTTTATGAATTTTTAAAAGCCCCTTAGCAACGACTTTTTGAGGTATTTTCAAAGGTTGCTAAACGTCGATTTTTTATAAATTTTCAAAATTTTTAAAAGACCAAAATTTTGGGTATTTTTCAATTAATTTTTTGAAAATTTTAAAGCGGTAACATTGGTAACCGGTGGTGTTGGTGGTGGATGTTAACAACAACAACCAAAACGGATATAGGAAAACAGGTAAATTAGAAAAAAATAATGTTTGGGTTTCTTTAAATTTCTTTTTGGTTGTGAAAAGGGGGGAGTTTTTTTGGTTACTCAAAATCTCTTTAAAGTCCACACTCTCTTCTCTTCGCTCTCTCTCTCTATCCTTATCTAACCCTACTCTCTTTATTAGCACAGCTGTCAAACTATTTTTTTACATAAAAACCGTTAAAACACATGTTCAACGATGACATTTTGGGACCGACGTTGCCACTTGGTTTTGTTGTTGCCGTTGTTCGAAACAAGCCTTCAGCCGGATATTATGCTCTCTCCCAGCAATGAATGCCATGCAACACTGTGCTTTGCCTGCTGTCTGTCTGTATTGGAATATTATTTTTTTGGGGGATATTTTCATGTCTAATGCTGCTGCTTCTTCTTCTTCCTGCTCTCGCGTATGTGTTCGGATTTTTTTAGTTAGCTGTCTTCCAGAGGAGAGCATTTTTATCCTATAAGTATGCAGTAGTAGTGACAGCAGTAGTAAAAAAACGACGACGACAAATCACCATTCAACACAAAAAAAAACAACAACAGCACCAGCAAGAGTAGTAGAGTGGCTCCAAGGTTTTTTTTCGGTTAAATAAAATCGGTTTTTGTGTTCAGTTTTTTGTGTGTTTTCAATACAATAATTAAAAAAATCACTGGAGGAAGAAAAATTAAATGCAAAAAAAAAGAAAATAGCAAAGAAAAGAAAAATCTTCCCCCTCGCCGACCAACCCAAGTGAATGAGGCAGTGATTAAGTAACACGACAGCGGTGGTAGTACACAGTTCGATATCCCGAAAAGCAATAAATCAAAAGATTTTTCATAGTGCAAAAATATAAATTCGATTTTTTTTTTCGCTGCATTAAAGTCATTGGGGTTTTCAGTTTATTGAAAAATTTTTCATCTACTTCGTCAAAAAAAAAAAAAAAAATAGAAAATCATTGACGCCGCCCTCCAAAGCAAGCAATCAACCAACCACCACTACTTTTCGCGTTTTCCAATCTCAAGCCAACAGAAAAAATTAAAAAAAAAAATTCAGAAAGTGTATAAAAATGTTTGCCCCAAATGTGAAAAATTGAAATGGAAAAGTGTTTTAGAAATTCGTGATTAACGAATGAATGTGATATCGCGGTGATAGTGAACCTCATCGAATATAGTCTAGCCCAGAAAAATTCATAATACCCTAGCATAGCGGTCATTATTCCTGTTACCCATATTTTTAAAAAGCAAAAAACGAGGAAACAGAATTCCCCATCATCATGGCATCGGGAGGAGTAGGTATTAGCTCCATAGATCCGGATGTATCTTCAACATCTAATACAAAATTCACATCCGACCGTGAAGGTAAAATCCAACGAAAAAAAATATAAATTTCAAACACAATTTGCATTACATAAATTCCTAAAGGAAGAGATTTTTTTTGCCATTAAAAATAGATGACTACGTGTGTGTGTGTATTATCTGTTACCCTATGTGTGTATGTTCGGAAGTTTAATATCATAAATTGTTAAAAAAGAATGGGATACTACTCCTCCTTAAAAAAAAATCGAGAAAATATTCCCTTCGACAAAAAAATCATTACAATGTCAGCGAAGAAAAAAATCAATGAAAATCGCTAAACTGACACAAGAATACGATGTCTTGTATTCCTATTGGAATAGTTATGCCCTCAAAATCACAAAGAGAGAGAGAGCGGGTTTCCGTTATAAATGCATGATGATGAGAGTGGTTAACAGAGAACATGTGTCACATATTTTGTTATCTTCCGCTATTCCTCTCTTCCAACTGGAATATGTTAATTAAAGTGGTTTGTTTATGTTTTTTGACAGCTGGGGGGATGTTTTGACATTTGTTTGAATTTTAATATTGTGCTTGCAAAAACAAGAAAAAACATCATAACAGGGAGTTGTGATAAAACCTCATGATGTGATATTTTTGGGGGGCTATGGATTTGGACGGAAAAATATGAATTAAAAACCAGTAAGGAAAGCAGTAAAGTCGGACGGGGCCGACTATATGATACCCTTCACCACTATGGGTATATTAAACAGGACTATTAACATGAAATTAGATGAAATAAAATATGTGATATTTATCTAAATGTGAATCTACCTAGATCTATCCATAAAGTATGTAAATCGATTTCAAACAAATATAAATGGGTCATCCGTTGGGCTATGTCTGTACTTTTAGAAAACGCAACTACGTAATTCTATGCTCAATTTTGTAAGTTGTGCAAAATTTGATGTCAATCTGACTACATGAGGAGTTTGATGCCCCATTTACTTGAAATCGGCGAAATATATATGGAAGCTCTATCCAAATATTAAGCGATTTCAAACAAACATGTCACAGGTTAGGTTATAGTAATTTCAGAACGTTATGTTTCTATCAACCTATTGGTTCCTTGGTGCGTCAATTACTTAAAATCAATCTATAATAAAAGGGAGCTATATCTAAATCTGGACCGATTTTCACGAAACAAGGCGGACATCACTCTAGGCTCAATTCAGTACGTTATGCCAAATTTCGTGCAAATCGAAAGATATATAGCGACTTTGGTGCACCATTTACATGAAATCGGACGAAACTATATATGGGAGCTATATAGAAATCTGGACCGATTTTCTATGTGGGAGCTATATAGATATATATGGGAGCTATATCTACATCTGGACCGATTTTCTCGAAACTTGGCAGACATCATTCTAGGCTCATTTCAGTACGTTATGCCAAATTTCGTGCAAATCGAAGGATATATAGGGACTTTGGTGCACCATTTATAACAAATTGGACGAAACTATATATGGGTGCTATATCTAAATCAGGACCGATTTTCACGAAACTTGGCAGACATCATTCTAGTCTCAATTCAGTACGTTATGTCGAATTTCGTGCAAATCGAAGGAATGCCTCGATGATTTTTAGGGCACTCATTTCTGAAATTTTTTTTTTGAAATTTTAGAGTCTCTAAAGATAGATTTCTTGAACATTTTTTTAAGTATTCAAAACATAGACTTTTGCGCCTTTTTTATTAATTTTTAAAAACACCTAAATAAATTCTGAAATAATTGCCAGAAGTATTTATTGAAGAATTTTAATAATTTTCATAAAATTTTATAGGTCCCTAAGTGAGGATTTTTTTTGCTAATTTTTAAAGGTCCAAGTGATGAGTTTAAAGAATTTTTTTCATTGAATTTAACAACTTGTAAGGGCTCACAATCATGAGTTTATGAAATATTTTTTGGGGGTTTTTGTTATAGAACTCTAATTTCTTAGATTTTTTAGGACTTTTAAAGCTCCGATAGATTGATTTCTTAAACGTTTATAAGGCCCTAATACATCGATTTTTTTGGGAATTTTTTAATAAAAGATTTAAAAAAAATCAAAAGTATTTTTAAGAATTTTAAGAGGCCTCTAAGCATGGCATCTACTCCTAGATTTTTTACGCAGATATTCGAAGAATTGTTAAGGCCTCTAAAGGGCTTAAAGACTGGATTTCATTTAGGGAGACCTCTCATTCTCGGTTTCAAAATATTTAATTTTGTATTTCGATTTAATTCGAACCTACACTAATTCAAGACTGTCCCTATAAAAACTGCAAGTGAAAATTTCAACATTTTTGAAGATATAGCCGATTTATTGTGATAGCATCAAGTGGCGGCAAGAGGGCTTCTCAAACTTTAAACGCGTTTTACTCCTCTAAGCTGGAATTTTCGGTCTCTAAAGGTCTCTAAGCTGGAATAAATTTGTAAGTGTGAATTTTTATGAACCCTAAGCGTAAATTATTGGAAGATCTCTAGTCTTGGATTTTTTTCAAATGAATTTTAAAGGCTCTGAATCGAGGGTGTTTCAATGGTTTCTTTTAAGATCTCTAAGCTAAGATAATTCGAAGAATTTTTAAATGCGATTTTTCCACAACTCGAAGATTGAATATTCAATGAATTTTTTAAGGTCTCTAATGTGAATTTTTAAGGCCTCTAAAGTCTTAAATAATTGGAAGTATTTTTCAAGATTTTAAATCTTGGATTTTTCAAAGAAATTTTAACGATTCCGATTATTCGAAGATTTTTTAAAGGCCTATAAATACTGAAATTTAGGAGGTGTTGTTATATGTGAGCTATCCGGAAACTTGTTCCAATATTGATAATTTTCGGTTGGAGGCATTTACACGACATAAAACCTTTTTTTTTGGAAAAACATGCCCAAACCTTGGACTATTTGTAAAGCCAAACATCCTTGGAGTGGTAGCAATGTATGTGGAAATTTTCAAAGCTCTATACTAAATATTAGCATTTACCCACTACTTCGTTGGCGAATGTGGGTAATAAATAATAAAACTTCCTGCATACCCCGATCCTAATTGTACTAAATATAGTACACAGTAGTACCAATTTTCAAAACTTCCTACATACCCCAATCCTACACCCCCACACCTATCCTAAATTAAAGTTTTAGAATTCCAACTCTATCGGTTCACCCACAATTCAAATTGTACCAAATTTAGTACACAGTAGTACCAATTTCCAAATCTTCCTACATACCCCACCAATCCTACACCTCCACACCTCAGGATTCCAACTCTATCACTTCACCCACAATTTACATTGTACCAAATTTAGTACATATAGTACAAATTCCTACATACCCCAATCCTACACGTCCACAGTGATCCTAAATCAAAGTTTCAGGATTCCAACTCTATCGCTTCACCCAAATTTAAATTTTACCAAATTTGGTACACAGTAGTACCAATTTTCAAAACTTGTACTAAATTGTACTAAATTTAGTACATAGTAGTACCAATTCCCAAATCTTCCTACATACCCCACCAATCCTACACCTCCACACCTCAGGATTCCAACTCTATCACTTCACCCACAATTTACATTGTACCAAATTTAGTACATATAGTACAAATTCCTACATACCCCAATCCTACACGTCCACAGTGATCCTAAATCAAAGTTTCAGGATTCCAACTCTATCGCTTCACCCAAATTTAAATTTTACCAAATTTGGTACACAGTAGTACCAATTTTCAAAACTTCCTACATACCCCAATCCTAAACCTCTACAGTGATCCTAAATCAAAGTTTCAGGATTCTAACTCTATTGGTTCACCCACAATTCAAATTGTACCAATTTTGATACACAGTAGTACCAACTTCCAAAACTTCCTACATACCCCAATCCTACACCCCCACATTTATCCTAAATTAAAGTTTTAGAATTCCAACTCTATCGGTTCACCCTCAATTCAAATTGTACCAAATTTAGTACACAGTAGATCCCACAGTGATCCCAAATCCAAGTTTCAGGATTCCAACTCTATCGGTTCATTCACAATTCAAATTGTACCAAATTTAGTACACTTAGTACAAATTTCTAAAACTTCCTACATACCCCAATCCTACACCCCCACAGTGATCCCAAATCCAAGTTTCAGGATTCCAACTCTATCGATTCATTCACAATTCAAATTGTACCAATTTTAGTACACATTAGTACAAAGTTCTAAAACGTTTACATATCTCAAACTTACACCTCCACAGTGATCCTGACTCCAAATTTCATGATTCTAGCTCTATTGGTTCACTCAAAAATTCAACTTGTACCAAATTTAGTACGATTTAGTACTTTTCGTACACATAAGTAACAAATTTCCATAACTACGTTTATATCCCAATCCTACACTCCAACAGTAATGTTAATTTCAATTACCGGGATTCCAGCTCGATTTCTATCTCCAAATTAAATTTGTACCAAATATAGTACCATATAGTACTTTTCGTACACATGTGTATACGCTTTCAAAACCATCACCTTAAATATACCCTACATTTCAATCCTTATTTGCATTCCAAATTTTAAGTTTTTAGCTCAATCCATTCACATGCTACGAAATTGTACAAAATTTAGTACATTTTAGTACTTTTTCGAATACTTATAGTTCGAATGTCCAAAAACCCATACACTCCATCAGTGACCTTCATTTAAAATTTAAGAGTTCTAGCTCTACCGGTTCGCCAAATACAATTGGTATCATATTTAATACTTTTTAGTACTTTTCGTACCGTTCTGTCACCTTTGGACCAAGAGTGACCCTTACCCAAAATTTCAAGATTATAGCTTCAGCCGTTTCGTCAGGGCGTTGATGAATCATTAAATCAGTCAGTCAATCACTTCACTATTTTATTAGTATAGATTAAATGTGTACCAAATATAGTACCATATAGTACTTTTCGTACACATGTGTACACGCTTTCAAAACCATCTCCTTAAATAGACTCTACATCTAATTCGCATTCCACATTTCAAGTTTTTAGCGCTATCCGGCCACATTCTACAGAATTGTACCAAATTTAGTACATTTTCGTACTTTTCGGATAGTTATAGTTTGAATTTCCAAAAACCCTTTGCTACACCTATCATACACTCCATCAACGACCACCAAACCAAATTTCAGAGTTCTAGCTCCACCGGTTCGCCAAATACAAATGGTATCACATTTAGTACTTTTCGTACCGTTCTAGTACGAATTTCCAAAAGCCCAGCCTTATCTGTCACCTTTGGACCAAGAGAGACCCTCACCCAAAATTTCAAGATTCTAGCTTCAGCCGTTTCGTCAGGGCATTGATGAATCGGTTCATCAGTCAGTCAATCACTTGACTCTTTTATTAGTATAGATTGGGCGCCATCTGCAGAAAATAAAAACTTCAGATCCAGATCCAAAATCCGTCATAACCGTTTTTCATTAAAGCTAATGATACATCCGCCGAGAACGCAATTGAACAGAAATCAATTTTATAGAGAAAGGTGATGCTCGGATACTTCAACCTGTCCAATATTCTTCTGATTATAAGATATATATGTTAGTAGCATAGTATTGGCTTGTAGCAATCCTATTTCGGGTGAATCGTTTTTATACCCTTCACCACACTGTGGTACAGGGTATTATGTTTTTGTGCATATGTTTGTAACAGGCAAAAGGAAACGAGATAGACACATGGTTCCTTTTGAGAATATGCATAGAATCACTTTTTAAGTCGATTTATGCATGTCCGTCAGTCCGTCCGTCTGTCTGTCTGTCCATGTATTTTTGTGAACAAAGTACAGTTCGCATTTATGATCCGATTTGGATGAAATTTGGCACAGGTCACTTATTCGGCCCAAGGACGAATCCTATTGAAATTGGGAAAAATCGGTTCAGATTTAGATATAGCTCCCATATATATATTTAACCGATTTAATGTAAACGATCCCTATATATCTTTCGATTTGCACGAAATTTGGTACAGCCTAATCATTTAGGTCTAGAATGATGTCTGCCAAGTTTCGTGAAAATCGGTCCAGATTTAGATATAGCTCCCATATATAGTTTCGTACGATTTCATGTAAATGGTGCCTCAAAGTCCCTTTATATCTTCCGATTTACACGAAATTTGGCACAACGTATTGAATTAAGCCTAGAGTGATGTCTGCCAAGTTTCGAGAAAATCAGTCCAGATTTAGATATAGCTCTCATATATATTTCGTCCGATTTAATGTAAATGGTGTACCAATGTCCCTGTATATCGTTCGATTTGCACGAAATTTGGCATAGCGTAATGAATTATGTCTAGAATGATGTGTGTTAAGTTTCCTGGAAATCGGTCCAGATTTAGATATAGCTCCCATATATATTTTCGTCCGATTTAAGGAAAATGGTGCGCCAAAGTCCCTAAATATCTTTCGATCTGCACGAATTTTGTCACAGCGTAATTAATTAGGTCTAGAATGATGTGTGTTAAGTTTCGTAAAAATCAGTTCAGATTTAGATAAATATATATATATATATATATATTCGTCCGATTTAAGGTAAATGGTGCACCAAAGTACCTATATATGTTTCGATTTGCACAAAATTTAGCATAGCGTACTGAATCAAGTCTACAACGATGTGTGCAAAATTTCTTGAAAATCGGTTCAAATTTAGATATAGCTCCCATATATATTTTCGTCCTATTTTGTGTAAATGGTACACCAAAGTCTCTATATATCCTTCGATTTGCACGAAATTTGACATAGCGTACTGAATTGTTACTAGAATTATGTGTGCAAAATTTCGTGATAATCGGTTCAGATTTAGATATAGCTCTCATATATATTTTCATCCGATTTTCGGTAATTGGTGAACCTAGGGTCTTTGGTGCACCAATTATCTTTATATTTGCATGAAATTTGGCATAGCGTACGATTTGCACGAAATTTGTCATAGAGTACTGAATTAAGGCTAGAATGACGTGTGCTAAGTTTCGTGAAAATTGGTTCAGATTTAGATATAGCTCCCATATATATTTGCGTCCGATTTTATGTAATTGGTGCACCAAAGTCCATATATATTTTTCGATTTGGTATAGGGTACTGAATTAAGTCTAGAATGATGTTGCTAAGCTTCGTGAAAAGATCCATAGGTAAGCCGATTTACACAACGTACTGATGTAATATAAATTAGTCTCTGGCAAGTTTCCCTGAAATCGGTTCAGATATATTCTACATATGTTAGGATACATATGTAGAATATAACCAAAGTGGTGAAGGGTATCATATAGTCGGCCTAGTCCGACTTTACTACTTTCCTTACTGGGTTTACATAACATTTGCAAATCTAACTTGGAACTATTCCGATAAAGGAACGATAGGAATTACGTCCAGTTCTTTACTTGCTACAGTTAATTTTCTGATCTCGTTCCTTTCACTGATCTCGGACCTTTAATTTCATATTTTTCATTTGTTCCCGTTCGCTCTTTCAGAGAGAGAGAGAGAGAGAGAGAGATAAAAAGGAACTACCTAGGAGTCGGAACTATATAGATTGATGTGATTGAGAAAAAGTCGTACAAAAAACTATCGGAACTAGGTTCGATTCTCACGTTCAAAGACTCAGACAAAGCGTGGCTTTTTAAAGACAAGCTTCTCTATTGAAAATCTCCCAGAACATCAGGCCATCTGCAAAGCTTTCCCTGAAATAAGCCTGACATTTTTTAAGAATACCTCTGGTTTATCTGGAGGATTTCTGTGGCAATTCTTCACCTTTAAGTGACTAGTATGTTTATTCTTAGGATTACTCCTTGTATGGAGACATTTTTAACCTCCATATTCGATCATTGAACTTTATTATATTAATTATTTTTTTTTAATATTTTTCAGATGCCCAAGACTCATCCATTTCGGAGGTCAGTTCCCAAAATCTAAATTTTAGTTCGATTTATATTAACTAATTTTTCCTCTCTCGTTCGCTTTATAGACCCCGGGTAAACAGCGTACCAAAAGTGATAAGGAACGCAAAATTGGCCATAGGCGTGTCGGTGAGGGTGGTGAGATCACCTATAAAAAGATACAGACCTCACAGATTATGGGTTCCATACAATTGGGTATACAGCATACGGTAAGCGCGGAAGATGCGACTTATTTCCGATTTTCTTTCGAATATTAATTTTGTCTCCCTTTACCCAAACAGGTCGGTAGTTTAGCCTCTAAACCAAAACGTGATCTACTTATGATGGACTTTTGGGAAATCGAAAGTATTGTCTTTCCGCCCGAAGGTTCTAGCCTTACGCCTGCCCACCACTATAGTGAATTTCGTTACAAAATTTATGCGCCGATAGCATTTCGTTACTTTAGAGATTTGTTCGGCATCCAGCCGGATGATTTTATGATGTCCATGTGTTCGTCACCATTGCGGGAGCTGTCGAATCCGGGTGCATCGGGTTCCATATTCTATTTGACGCATGACGATGAATTTATCATTAAGACGGTGCAGCACAAGGAAGGGGAATTTTTGCAAAAATTATTGCCAGGGTAAGCAGAGAAGAAGAAGTTAAAAAGATCTCCAAGAAAAGAAAATAATTTCCTCTTTTTTTCAGTTACTACATGAATTTAAATCAAAATCCCCGTACCCTTTTGCCGAAGTTCTTCGGCCTGTACTGCCTGCAGACCAACAATGCCAAGAACATCCGTCTAGTGGTGATGAACAATCTGCTGCCTTCCTATGTGAAAATGCATCTGAAATACGATCTGAAAGGATCGACGTTTAAACGCAAAGCCAATAAAGCGGAACGTGCCAAGAAATCGCCAACATTTAAGGATTTAGATTTTATGGAACAGCATCCGAATGGTATATTCCTCGAGGCTGAAACCTATTCGGCCTTGATCAAGACAATACAACGGGATTGTACGGTACTGGAATCATTTAAAATTATGGACTATTCCCTATTGCTGGGTGTACACAATTTAGATTTGGCCTCAAAGGAAAAACAGAAGACACGAAAGCAGGCCAAATCATCGCAATCCGAGGAATCGGATGAGGATAATGCTCGTGGTACAGAGACAACGTCGGATAATCAGGATGAAGAAACGCAAAGCAATATACAACGCAATAGGTGAGTGGGAGGAAGGTATTTAAGGAGGATGATGTACTAATCAAAATTTTTTTCGTATTTTTAGTGCGGCCTATCGCTCGAATCGCCAACGTTTGGTAGCCCACTCCACAGCCATGGAGAGCATACAGGCTGAGAGTGAACCCATTGATGATGAAGAAGATATGCCGTAAGTAAAAAACACACACACACGCTTAGATGATGTTTCGATGTGACGAAAGGACCAAAATCCAAAGACTTTTTCCGAGGTCCAAAATGGGAGGGGTTTTAAATAAGACTTTTTCAAGGATCAAAAGAGGTGTGGATTTTTCAAGGATATTTTTTAAGGACTCATACAAGGTGTTGATTTTTTCAAGGATATTTTTTAAGGACTCAGACAAGGCGTGGATTTTTTTAAGGAAAACTTTTTTCGAGAACCAAAATCTGGGAGATTTTTTTTGTGAAAAAATTTCAGGGACTCAGAAAGGACGTTGGGTTTTTAAAGAAGGATTTTTCAAGCATCAAAACAGGTCAGACTTTTTTAAAGGATATTTTTTCAAGGACCTACACAAGGCGTGGATTTTTTAAAGGATATTTTTTCAAGGACCTACACAAGGCGTGGATTTTTTAAAGGATATTTTTTCAAGGACCTACACAAGGCGTGGCTTTTTTAAAGGATATTTTTTCAAGGACCTACACAAGGAGTGGATTTTTTAAAGGATATTTTTTCAAGGACCTACACAAGGCGTGGATTTTTTAAAGGATATTTTTTCAAGGACCTACACAAGGTGTGGATTTTTTAAAGGATATTTTTTCAAGGACCTACACAAGGCGTGGATTTTTTAAAGGATATTTTTTCAAGAACCTACACAAGGCGTGGATTTTTTAAAGGATATTTTTTCAAGGACCTACACAAGGCGTGGATTTTTTAAAGGATATTTTTTCAAGGACCTACACAAGAAGTGGATTTTTTAAAGGATATTTTTCAAGGACCTACACAAGGCGTGGATTTTTTAAAGGATATTTTTTCAAGGACCTACACAAGGCGTGGGTTTTTTAAAGGATACTTTTCAAGGACCTACACAAGGCGTGGATTTTTTAAAGGATATTTTTTCAAGGACCTACACAAGGCGTGGATTTTTTAAAGGATATTTTTTCAATGACCTACACAAGGCGTGGATTTTTTCAAGGATATTTTTTCAAGGACCTACACAAGGCGTGGATTTTTTAAAGGATATTTTTTCAAGGAACTAAACAAGGCGTCGATTTTTTAAAGGCGTGGATTTTTTTAAAGGATATTTTTTAAGGACCTACACAAGGCGTGGATTTTTTAAAGCATATTTTTTCAAGGACTCAGACAAGGCGTTGATTTTTTAAAGCATATTTTTTCAAGGACTCAGACAAGGCGTTGATTTTTTAAAGCATATTTTTTCAAGGACTCAGACAAGGCGTTGATTTTTTAAAGGATATTTTTTCAAGGACTCAGACAAGGCGTTGATTTTTTAAAGGATATTTTTTAAGGACTCAGACAAGGTGTGGATTTTTTAAAGAATATTTTTTAAGGACTCAGACAGAGCGTGGATTTTTCAAGGATATTTTTTAAGGACTCAGACAAGGCGTGGATTTTTTCAAGGATATTTTTTAAGGACTCAGACAAGGCGTAGAATTTTTCAGGGATATTTTTTAAGGACTAAGACAAGGCGTGGATTTTTTAAAGAAAATTTTTTTAAGGACTCAGACAAGGCGTGGAATTTTTCAGGGATATTTTTTAAGGACTAAGACAAGGCGTGGATTTTTTAAAGAATATTTTTTAAGCACTCAGACAAGAACATTTTTTAAGAACTCAGGCGTGGATTTGTTCAAGGATATTTTTTAAGAACTCAGGCGTGGATTTGTTCAAGGATATTTTTTAAGAACTTAGACAAGGATATTTTTTAAGGACTCAGGCGTGGATTTTTTCAAGGATATTTTTTAAGAACTTAGACAAGGATATTTTTTAAGGACTCAGGTGTGGATTTTTTCAAGGATATTTTTTAAGAACTTAGACAAGGATATTTTTTAAGGACTCAGGTGTGGATTTTTTTCAAGGATATTTTTTAAGAACTTAGACAAGGATATTTTTTAAGAAATCAGGCGTGGATTTTATAAAGGATATTTCTCCAGGGACCCACACAAGGCGTGGATTTTTTAAAGAATATTTTTTCAAGGACCCACACAAGGCTTGGACTGACGTAGATTTTTTAAACAATATTTTTTAAGGACCCACACAAGACGTGGACTGACGTAGTTTTTTTAATACAATAATATTTTTAGGACAAATTCCTTCAACATAGAGTAACCCTCTTCCGAATTTTGAATTATTTCACAATTAAATTCTTTTTTCCCCCTTTCAGACCCGGTGGCATCCCGGCCCGCAGTGAAAAGGGCGAACGCCTGCTGCTCTTCATTGGCATCATTGATATTTTACAATCGTATCGGCTGAAAAAGAAACTGGAACATACCTTCAAGAGTATCATTCATGATGGTGTAAGTCCAAGCGATTATTTATCTTTATCTTGTTTATCTGTGGAAATTATCTTCCAGCTACATTTTTAACTTATTGTTGTTATAAAAAAAAAAATATATTTAATTTATAAATTCAAACCAATTTTTCTTTACACATCTCTCAAGGATACTGTTTCAGTGTGTCGTCCTTCATTTTATGCTCAAAGATTTCAAAATTTCATGGCCAAAACTGTA